AAACGAAGAAAACTTGTTTGAATAAAGGTATTTACCTATATAGTTTAATCAAGAAAAAAAGTTGAAATAAAAACTTGAAATTCTTATAAGAAGATTATAGATTCTTGCTTATATATAACCATGTAAGTCTTGATTTAAGACTTCTTTTTTTTCTGCAGGCATTTGAGCACAACATCCTCACACACACATAGTTTACATTCAGCATTTTTTTTTCGTCAATAATATTAGTTGTGGGAGGTCAGGATTCTGCGCAGGTGTTACGAGTAGGTTTTCCTTCGTGGGAAATCTCTATCCGGTTATTGTTTTACTCGCGCACGAGAGTGTCCTCGGCATGGAATGCGCTGGCGCATCTTAGCTGACGCGCAACACGCGCTTACGTGCATACATATAGACGTTGCGCGGTACCGAGAAGGAGTGATCTTCCATTTCCTGATAGTCGATTTCCGGTGACCAGCCACGAAAGCGATCCCAGTCGCCAAGTGCGTCGCGGGATTGATTGTCGTGAATCGAGACGACGATTAGAGCTTACACATTCCAGACGGATTACCATACGACGTCTTACACTTAAACGATGCGTAAGCAGTTTTGCATACTGACGGCAAAGCCGTGCTGGTAAATATTGATATCGTCTTCGATGCGAGCGACAGGTGCCCGGACAAATTGCACGGATGCTCCAGCGATGATTTGTCCGTGACGGTTGCACGATCGTAACTGTGTATGATGACTCGCAATTAGCCTATGTTTAGACTTTATGCAAATTTTTTATTTAGAACTGAGACTAACTGAGTTATAACTTTTAACGTTTTTCAACATTTACAACGTCTTGCAAGTATCTTGATAATATTAAGCTCGTGGAATTAAGAATCTGTTGAAACCAAATTTGTTTGAAGTTACAGATTTGTTATTTAATTTTTAGCGTTTCTTTTCAATCGCTTATGACTCACGTGATGCTTTTATATTGGAAATACAGAAATTAAATTATATAAATTTCAAATATAACGGTATGAAGTAAGAAATCGTTCTTTAATGATTTTATAATGCTTATTAATTTTTGATATTAGAAAATTGTTGACCCACTTATCCGATCTCAATTACCCGTAACCTCGAAACAAAATTCAAGAGTCTTTCAAATGAGACCCACGAGAAGTTAATAAATGTTTCCCTTTGTGAACGGCAAATCGCGAGGGGATCAAACTTGTTTGCTAACGGATAATTGCATTTAATTAGTAAGCCGTCGTGCGGAGTGCGCGAATCAGAAATTATCTCCCCCGTCTAATTACACAAACGAGAGAGACAGAGAGACCACAGCTCGCTACGTAGGGCACGGATTAGCATAGCCGGCCATTAGATCGTGACAGATCGGACAGATCGGATTCGTAAGTGAAAGGCATGCATCGTGAGGAGCAGGCCGCGCCGACCGCGGCTCTTTAACGTCGCGTCATTCTGCCGGAGATAAATGAAATGGAAAACAAAGTCGTGGCTTCTATCGCTTCTCGCGGCCAATCGAAACGTCGGAAGTATTCTTGCAGTTTCTGCATCGAGCGTCGTAGTCGCGTAGGTAGTCTCGCTCTTTCGCAAGTGAGCCGAAACGATCGCTTCATGGGCGTGGCAGCAGCAGGAGGATCAGCTCGCTTGCATCGCGATACAGCGACGCGCCGAGATGGAGAGAGTGATCCCGGGGGATTAATTCACTCGCGTAAAAATGATAACGAGGGCCGATCGCGCCCACTCCTAACTTTCTTATGAGAAATCCCTTTCCGTGATTAAGATTATCGACGAAAGAGAAGAATACACGTGACTTTGAGAATCCCCGAACGATGAAAGATCTTTCTTTCGAAGACGCTTGATTCATGCTTGACGTATGTCTGAAGAAAATGACCGAGCGATTTTTCTCAATGGAGGTGTCATCTGCTGTTTTATGATTCAGTTTCGTGTTTTACTACAGGATTTTCGCACATTCCTACGATTTATCTCCTTTTATCACGGATACCAGATAATCGCTTAAGATTTCGTTGGTATTTTATCTCGGTCTCTATTCATGCTCTCTTCGTGCCTTATTTACCGTATACGACGATCAAGTCCCGAAATTCCGTTCGTTATCTAACTCGGCGTTCCATCGCCTCAAACATACCTCGGTCGGTGTTTTTCGCATTAGTCATCGGCTTCCCGTTGCCAAAGGCGAAAGGCGATCGTAATATAGCCGAGCTGGCTGCGAGCAGGTATATAATGCGTGTTTTGTTTCGCTCGAGCGACCACCGCAGTCGTCCAAACGACCGCGCCGGTTTCTCCGTAGTGCACCGCAATCGGTAGAGATTACGCGAGCGACCGGCGATAATCGTTGTTTTAATCGTCCTTAAATACGATTCGCTGAACTATATCAGGGGGAGTCAGGAAATCACGTTGTATCACGATCGCCTTAGCGATTGATCGATTTGTTTGAAATTTCCTGAATGTCGCGCGAGCGAAATCTAGCGACTTCATTAACCCTATTCACTCCAACGTTTTTTTCGCCCCAATAATCCTCCAACCATGCACTTTCGAGTCCCACGTGTTTTTTATAATGTTAATAGCTTTGAAAAATTCCCCAAAAATTATTATAATATCTTTGTACCTTCGACTAAAAATCAATGTAAAGAACATTTGAAAATCATTTATTTAAATATTTTTTTACAACAATTATATGTTGACAAACACACGTTACGACTCGTTTTACTTAAAAAATCATAACTCACGAACAAATTGACGAAGCTTAATGAACCAAAACGCAAATTAAAGCTAAAAGTAGTGCAAATGAGAAAAAAAATATGAGATAATTATTAATTAAATAGGAATACTTAATTTCGTCGCCGCAAATTTGGTAATTTTTAAATGGTACAGAAGGACTTTAAGGACTTAAAGAATGCTAGAAAAAGAATTTCTGAATAAGAAAAGGCGAATTTGAAGTGTGACAGATATTTTTTATGTAAAAAAATTAATTTTTTTTATATAATCGTAGCTCCTCCCTACCTCTTCCACCTGCCTCTGAGCCATAATAGACCTCTGTGGAATGTTAAATTTCTTTTTTAACGATAAAAATATTTTAAATACGGTTAAATTATACACAAAAATATATTTTTATCGAAAAAAATGCTCATTTACCTTTCACACAACACTGACGTAATCCTCCAACCATGCACTTTCATGTCCCACCGAGATTTTGATTGTTCCCCGTTTCGAGAGTAAATGAGCTAGGACTTTGAAATTTTTACCTGAGGTTCCCTGCCACAATAACTTTTTTCCGGTGTGGAGGGGATTCTCCCACGATCATTTGTTTTTCGGAACAAACGACTGTTAGAAATTTGTGGGACACGAAAGGCATGGTTGGAGCGAATAGGGTTAAAAATAGAGGAAACACAGAATAATTAATTTCTAATTTCTCGAAATGTTTGAGCAGTGTAGGGCGCGGCGCTTTTTGCAACGAAAGTTTTCCACGAAAATTTCGCGATAACGTATAATACGCGATTCCACTCAGCGATTGTGGGAGTTATACGAGACTATAAAAAAATCACGGGGGAGATTGCCGGCTATTTGCGCCGTTACCGGGGATAACGCGAGCTTAAGAGGATCGTTATCCGCGATCCTTAACTGAAATTTAGCCGAGACGGCGGGGAAACCAGTTTGGGAGAGCCGAACAATCCGAGGAAGGAAGGAACTTGTTCGATTTGTGCAGAGAGGAACGTGATTTAATCCTCTTCGCTCGTATAAGACATAAAATGCTCATCAAAGGATTCTATCCTGGCACTTTGGGCGTCCCCCACGAATTAGATTAGTATGGGTGAATGAGCTATATCGCCGGCATATTGTTGATATTGTATATCCACGGTAAACATTATTGTGTGCTTAATATTAAGTGTATCCTCTTTCGCTTCTACGTCTTAGAAAAATAGCATATTCCACGGACATTCTCTCTTAGCTAGTTATTCAGGTGTACCTAAATATGAGAACGGGTAATCTAGCAAATTTATATTCTCTCATGTGTGCGCAACCATAACTTGTAACATAACATTTTCTCACACAAGATTAAATTACGTAGGAAGAAGCTACATATACATTCCGCTAACGATAAGTCTGTATCATCTGTATGATAATCTGTGAAATTTGCCAAGTTCGACGTGACGGACAGAACGTGCTCCGACCCCGAAGACACGATTGAAGACAGTGAAGAGACGATCCTGAAAATCGCAACTTCGACATGCTCGCGTCGAAACAAGGTTCGGGGTGTCCCTAGGTAAGGTAACCCTTCGTAACACAGGGCCCCGCCCTACGTCGACCTCGCTCGTACCCCGCCGCTCTCTCTTCTCGCTCCTGGTTAGAGAGCTGGAGCTGGAGTCGTCGGCAGGGCTGCCACCATGGCGCGGAACGAGATCCCGGGGGCGCCGGGTTTCGCCCGTTACATCCCTGCTACCCCTCCGTCTCCGTTGTCGTGGTACTCATTCTTTCCCGGACGGTCGAGAGGTGCGGATCGTGTCAGCGTTTTGTACCGCAGGACCGCGCGAGGAAAAAAGCCACGGGGGAAAAACGAAAAGCGTCGAGAGAGTGCGAGCTTGTCTCTCTCTCTCTCTCTTTCTCCCTCCCGAGATATCGCGTTCGGCCGCGTCTTCCGGACGAAGGGGAGCGTCCGCGTGGGCGTGTAGGACGCAGACCGACCGAACGCAGGCAGGCACAAGCAGAACAAAGGAGCGTCTCTCTCGGCGAGATATCTCTCGTCGTCGCTGCTACTGCTGCTGGCTGCTGCTACCCGCGCCGCCGAGAGAGGAGCCGATCGATCATTAACCCGACCGTAGAGCCCGGCCACCGCCGCGTAGTCCCGTGAATTCGCCCTGTGATTCGTCCCGCGTGTACACGTCTCGTTGCCACGCGCTCCAGCATCCTTCGTCGAGGACGTTCGGGCGCGAGAGGAAGAGAGAACCACGGCCGTCACGTTCCCCGGTGCGCCCTTTCACGATCCACTCGATTGGGGCATCGACGTACCTGTGATTTACAAGAGAGGAGAGGCTGACGATAGATAAAAAGGGAGAAAGAGTCCGGGGTACAGGGTGTGCGCTTGAAGAGAACGAAGGATAGAGAGAAAGGAGAAGTCCAGGAGCGACGGAAGGCAGGGAAAAAGAGAGGGAAAGAACGAGAGAAGGAGATAGAGGAAACTGCTGGCAAGACAGAAACGGAGTAACAGAAGAAAGAGAGAGGAGGGAACGCGAGAAAAGAGAAAGGGAGACGGAAAGATTCTGAAAGGACGGACAACCGAGCGAGAGAGAAAGAGAGAGAAGAGCAGGGAGGGAGAGGGAACCAACTCGTTGGTGCGAGAGCGAGCGACGTATTGGTGACAGAAAGACGGACGGACAGACGGACCCCGACAGACGGACGCGGCTTCCCCTCCGCTCGTGTTCACCGAATCACCGCCAGTTGGTCGCGCGTTACCGAGCCAAGTGGATGTGTCCGCGATCGTGCTCCCGGCTGAAAAAGTTCTTCCTCGTCACGCCGTAACGAAAGTGAGAGAGAGAGAGAGAGAGGGAAAGAAAGGCCTTTCTTCCCCACGCACGTTGCATCGCCGCGATAAACGCGAGCGTCCTCCGTCCGTTGTATCGGTACCCGCGTGAACCTGTGAGAGAGAAAGACGCCGTAAAAGCGCATTGTGCCCGCCGGACGTGCGCCCGGCGAACCTCCGAGCGATTTCGTCGAGGAAAAAGGTTTATACAAGGTGCATCGCGAAGTGTGCGTCACCGGCAACGTATATACATACGTCGCGTCTCCTCGCAGCACGGAGAATATTTCTCAGCGCGTCGCTTTTACCGCCGAGATTCGAGAGGTGAGTACCAAGTGAGGTGGTGCGGGTGCCGACGATCGTGTTCGGCGTCTCGTCGATCGATCGTCGAGTTTCGCGTTCTTCTATTTTTCATTGGTGAACAAAAGGAAGCTGGTATTTTTTTACGGCGAAGCCCCCGAAGGAACTGTTGCGCGTCTACGAATTACGAAAGTTTTTTTTCGCGGGCACCCGCGCGTGCGTGCGCGATGTCCGACATCGTCCTGGTGGTCATTGTCCTCGTAGTCCTTTCGCCTCGGCGAATTCTCTCGCCGGAGGGGGGGATCAACAGACGGGTCTCGCGCGTCCCCCAGGAAACGCCGAGGCGGAGTTCCAGCCGGGAACGTGGCCGCCGCTCCGGGGCATCCGGATTTCGACCGTCCCCTCTCTCCGCGCCATTTTGAAAATGGGCAAGCCGGAACGGCAATCGATATAGCGGACGGCGCCAGCCGCGTCGCGAGGGGGACCTCGAGGACGTCGGCATCCCGCTCGTCCTTCCCGAGGACGAGCCCCCTACGCCCTGCGAGTCGAGCCGCGAAGTCGAGTCGAGTCGAGTCGAGCCGGCGTACCTTCCGGGATTCGTACGGTCATTCGAGAGTACGACCGAACGAACGATCCCTCGAGGAACGACCGGTCGTTACGCCATCTTGATTCCGTGCCCCACCATCTGCTCGGTAGTCGCACACTTCTTTAACCCCCGAACGATCGAGCCGTGCATACGGCACGTATCCACATATGTAATGTACGTACACGCGCGATTTCCAGCCGACCTTTTCCGCGCTTGGGATCGCGCAATCGCGCATACCGCTGTGCCGGTATTCTTTGTCGCGCCGACATTTCGAATCGTCCAGACGGGGACGAGCAAGCTTTCCTATCCCTCTTCACTCAGAACAAAGAAATTTAAAATTAATAATTAGCTTGTGTAAAGAGTCTCACTAAGAATCAAACTTAAAGAATAAAAATGTATGTTTAACGAGCTATGGACCCTAAAAACTCATAGAATAAAAACATGTTAACAGGCCTAATATATTGATAAACGCATGTAGGTCTTAATGGTTTTAAACACGTGTATAATATATCTAAAATTATAAAAGTCTTTAATATGTAAAAGTAAACGTAGTCGAAAATTAAAAAATACAGACTTTTATAACTTTATATTAAAAAGTCATGTAAAAAGTAAACGTAGCCGAAAATTAAAAAATATAGGCTTTCATAATTTTAGATATATATTGTATCGTGTTTAACTATGTGTGTGTTAAGCTAAGATCTACATGCGTTTATTAATATATTAGGCCTGTTAACATACGTTTTTATTGTTTTTTTTTTTTTTTTTTTTAAAATTATTGAAAACAAAATCAAACGATTTTGTGAATAATCAAGTATTTTAGCAGTAATTAACTTCGGCCTATTAATCAGTAGATTAATATTTTAATTTATTAATTATTTTGTATCTCAGGAAAAGAAGCTTACGAATTTAATTATTTTACGGCGGAACAATCAGCCCGTAATAAATTACTGCGTGTGTACTTTAAACTCGATAAATCCTGTGTTCGTTCGTGGAGAGAGAGATCAGCTTTTTAACAGTTGAGATAGAATTAAAACGGGCGATAGAGGGGAAAAAGTGACGCGAGGATGTATTCTTGGGGGTTTTTTCTACGGGCGCATGATCCGCTCGCCTCTTCCCTTTCGTTTTTCGCTTTTGTGTCGATTTTGTATAACAGGCTTCTACCTGCAGTCAAGGCTTCCACGGAAGCGATTGTTGCTGGTCGGAGGAACGGGCAGCTCGAGCGGAGAAAGGCTCGAAATAATACCGATCCTTTTGGCAAATGCATCTTGTTCGCACCGCACGTTTTCATCCTCTCCGACTCTCTTTCTCAACGATCGTTTTCACGACAAGAAACGTTTGTCTCCGTATAGTTCGCTGTGGTAACGCTTGCATTTGCATCTAGTCATCGTCGTAACGACTTTATACGTTATCGTCGATTATACGTTCCTGTTAATTAACATCGCGTGTGCATTGTGTGCAAATTAATACGACGCCGCCTTCCGCGCGCCGCGGCTTTCCCGCGAAAATCCGCTCGCGCGGCATTTGCGCGCGAGCGCGAGCCCGCGCGTCGGTACACCTGCACCGTGACGCCGACTGGTTTCTTCGTTCTTCGTGGCCTCGTCAAAACGCACCTTCTCGCGCGAAGGCGATTCGCCTCGCGCTTTGCCCGCCGCTCCTCGTTGCAACGCGCGCCCCGAGGCCTCTCCTCCATGCGGGGCTTGGCCCCGACCCCCTCGATCCGCGTCCCGCTTCCTACAATCGGCAGCAACCAGTTTCAGCAACGGCGGTGGCGGTGGCGGCGTCCATGCGATAACGGGTCGTTAACTTGCCCACATCTGCCTTTTTCTTGTTCGCGCACAGCCTCCGAGAGAGGAGGCGGTTTTGCTCTTGTAGCGCATTCAGCGCTGAATACGATTCCCGGGTAAGATCGAGCGCGGTCTTTCACGTTAGAAACGCGAGGCTCGGACTCGGTTTCGACATCGGGTTAGCGCTAATCGCAGCCGACCGAATCGCCTGTCATTGTTCGTAAAGGAGAGCTTTATTTCTACGGTAAAATATTGAAGTTGAAATGCATTTGATATCGCTTTCGCACGTCGCATGTTTTATTTGCCAATCGTGCTAATTCCTGCCGATTTCTCTTTCATCGTCCACGCGAATCCGCGTTCCCGTTTTGTCCCGGCGTCGTTTTTACGAGCGCTCTTTAAGATCTGCTTGCTGGGGACTTTATTTCGCCCCTGTTGCATTCTGGTCGCGTGTTTACACGGACCGAGGGGGTGCACGCGCCGCAACCGGGGGGCCAAAAATAGATCCATTCTGCGGCGCGGTCCGGGTGTACATACACGTATGCATACGTATTTTTCAGGCCCGTTAACTTTCCCCGTTTACCATTACGACGGCCACTCGGCTGGTTTTCGGCGGAACGAGCGCGAGCGCGAGCACGTGCGAGCGTATCTGCTCACGCATGCGGGACACGCGTCCGCTCGCATGGTGTGGTAGTTGGTTCGACACCTATTCTTCCGCGCGCTACGTTATTCTCAATTTCGATAACGGCTGCGAGAGAAAGAGCAGATGTCTTTTTTTTTTTCGGGAACGAAAAATGGGGTCAGTACAATGAGGCGAAAGAATGAGACGAGGAACAAAACAGGAGCACGAGAATACAGCCCGCACTAGTATGTCTATATTTCTAACTAATCACAATGTCAAAGTGCTATTTCAATAGGCAGAGGATCGTTCATCCGCGCTGTTCTCTTTGTTACATTTGCCATCCGATTGGTAGCTTCCTTCGGTCACTATCTTATACCTTTAATGATTATATTTGTTCCTTCTTATTCTATTTCAGTCTCTCAATGTGTGTCGGTTTCTGTCCGAGCTGAACCATCGAATTAGACGCGTCAGGCGCGAGGAAATAATGGCTGATTGATTGGGCGTACAGTTACACAGCCACGCGCACGCACGCACACACACACACACACACACACGCATTACACACACGCGCATGCACATTTCGTGCCCGTGGGAATTAGGGGACGAGCGCACTCTCGCGCAGTGTCGTAGAAAAGAATTTTTTGTTTATCGCGGAGAATGCGTGTGTCATTTGGTGCATCGGATGAGTCAGCGGATGTGACATCGGCTTGAAGTGTTGAATCAGGTTGCGGGCGAACATCGATCTCTAGTTTATCTCGTCTCACCGCGTTCCGAGATAGAGGATCCTTATTCGCTCAGGGATTAGCTCGCTTAGCAAGGCGGCGATGGCGAGAGGCGAAATTTTTAACGTACCGCACCATTACTCGCGTAAATTGTCTCTCACGATTCATGTAAATTCAGTGAGTTGTATTCGAGGTTGTATTTGACTGATTTAAAAATTTGATTGAAACTCATTGTGTCCTCGCTTATACGGCGTGAAAGCGAGAAGCGAGGAAAGCTATTCCGGAACGCGAATAGGGAAGAAGCCGAAGAAAGAGCCGCCGAGCGAAAACCCCGCGCATGAACACGCGAGTCATCGACGCCTATTTATGCACCTGCGCAACCTTGAAATCGCCGCGAGGTATCCAATTTTCCGGCCGCTTCTTGTCGTCGTCGTCGTTTCATTATAGTCCCATAATAGGCTCGTTCCGTTCGTTTTCTTCTCGGTGCATCGTGCTTATCGTTGGCGTTATCGCCGGCGAGGAATTCTCTCACACAACGACGGCCGACGGCGGTCGTTGTGTCGCTGTTAACGCCTTAATAGACGGCATCGACCTCTGAATGCGCGCTTATTAATCAATTGAGCGATACGACCGAAAGAAATCTCGGCGCTCATTATACCTCGACCGCGCTCGTTCGCCCCGTACGAAGCAGATAAATACGGGGAAAAGAAGGAAGGAGCTGTTTCGTCTTCGTAGACTTTATTTCGCAATCGCCTTTCGCGCTTCTTTCGCGCTTTTTTTCGCGCATCTTTCACTTGCCTGCCGCGGAATCGCGACCACCGCGAGAAGATCGCGGAATCTATTCTCCGATGTATCGCGCACTCGCTGGCGACCGCAACGCAACGACTCGCTCGGTGTATATTCAACACGCCTTCTCGCGTGCGCATTTCCATCTCCGCGGCCTCGAGCGGCGCAACGCTGTTTCGCAACGCGCGCCGCGAAACTATTTATTTGAGAGAATAAAAGAGAGAAGGCGTCGTAAAAGAGAATTGTTACGACACCGTTATCGGATTTGACTTGATGAATTTCGTCAAGCCTGTCAGATATTTTTTTATTCTTTTTACTCATATTTTATTGTCACCGTGAAGAATGGTTTTATAAATGTTCAATTACAAAATCTTAATTTGATCAAGAATAATGCCGTTCCAAACGGAACTTGGATGCTATATTTGTCGTGTTCGTGAGTGAATAAGCAGCGGAATGTCTATCGTACTTCAGAAAATTGCTTTATACACAACCGCGATTTATATTAACGCGAGGGGTGCGCGACCTAATAATACTTGCGTAGTAAATTGCTCACGATTTACCGAGCGCGCAAGCTAAATACGCGCGGCAGTCTTAAAACGTGAAAAAATATCTGTTCAATTATCGTTACTCTTATGCAAGACATCTCGCGTTACCAGTTCTTGCGCAGTCGCTCCTCTCCAAGGATGATATAAATGGTTGCCGCGATATTATAGGACCGTGTACGAGATTGTTAATGCGAAAGACAAGGCGCGGCAGACGGGGAGAAAGAGAGAGCGAGCGAGAGATTCGAAACACAAGAAAAATAAATAACAATGTAAGGAGAGCATATACATGCTCCGTTGCATGGATCGACTCGGAAGAGCGTGTCTCTCTTTCTTTCGCGCGGCGATGAATTTCCTTTCTCCGCCGGGAGACTATTTTTATCGCGGGGAACTTTGAGCCGAGAGAAACGCGTTCACGCGAGTGCACGCGCGCGTTTCGTTCTTCCACGCGCAAACAACACAGCGGTCGATCGTTGTTTTTCAACGGAGACGCGCAACGCTTATTCGGCGCCAGCGACGTTTATCTCGCGATTCGATGTCACACACGCTTCTAAATATAGCGTCCGCGTCCGCGATACGCCTCCGTGACCTTCCTCCACCGCCGGAAATTCGCGCTTCGAATTGTGATTAACGAACGACGCGAAGCGGAGAGAAAGAAGAAAGCTCGCGGTTCGAAGGAAAATATAATTTTTCGATTTTCCCGGAGACGATTTTCCGTTTCCCACGTTCTCCCCTCAGTAAATCGACACGTGTGATGATCTACAGCGCTTCTCGAGCGTACGATAGAGCTATTTTCTTACCGTAACGCTTCGCGGGACGCATGACTCCCACGTGGTGCGCACAAGCACGATATGGGATAACATAAATATTTGTCGAAACTCTTCCTGCCGTCGCCTAATATAGCAAGACGCTAATTATGTCTTCTTGTTTGCCTATTTTTACGGATGCTTCGACGATGAGTCTTCCTTCCGGCATGTGAGATTTTTCGGGAAGCCTCGCGCGAAACGTGCAATTTTTAGGAGTGTACGCGCGAATAAATTGATCGCAAAGAGAGGGGGATGTGGAAATTACATGAATTACTCTACTAATTCGGTAATCCAGGAAGAAATAAAGGTGAAACGAAGCGGAACGCGCGCAACTATCGTCTCCCTCTCGACGACGCGGACGTGACGAGCTTTTGTGTGGAGCGTACTGCAATTGGTTCCGAAAATTTGGCTGTGTCGGAGGGGAAACATATCATTCGTTAGTCTATAAGGGCGGCATTATTTCCGGAGGCGAAGACGAATCGTAATAACGGCTCCTACTCTGCTCACTCCGGTGAAGAGGATTCATTTCGAGAGATTAGAGATTGGCGTCTATTAATTATAATCTTTGTATAGGAATACACTTGTGCGCGAGCTTGTCGACAGCACAAACGACCGTCCGGTATCTCTCGACCGTGTTGCTAAACTTCGTTAACCGAGTGGTGACGGAATGTGTCAAAAATTACGAGCGAGCGGAGCTGCGCGAGGAATTCTCGCGGAGGTAACAATATTGTGTCATCGTGTTTCCGTCTCGGGATCCGTCATCCGACGCACGCGCGACAGCTAGACGTGTGTGGTGTGTGTCAGCCGATACACAGTGCGGAGCTATAGCGCGAGGTGCAATGCACCGTGAATAGGATACCTTGAAACAAATGGCGTTATGCGGTGACAGTGATATAGCTACAGCAGCTATACGGTCGCTTCACAGAGCTCCGACTTCGCATTGACGCGCGCGCAGCTCTGTTTTCGCGAAACGAAATCCAATCGCGGGGAGAATCAATTTACATTCCGTACGCTCTCGTCGCTCAATTAGCGCTAAATGTAACTGTTTGTTCACTGACTTTCATTCGTTCAGCGTAACTTAACTGCGACGTGTAGCGCGAGAGGAATGCGCCGGGCGAATTCATTCGGGAAATGAATCGCCGCTAGAAAGCAGAAAGCCAATTTCGCCGCGCGTTTTGCGCGATAAAAATCGCCTCGTTAATGGGACTTTTTTTCTCTCCGGCGAAGATCCGGAAAATGCGCGCGATGGAAATTCAGACGTTATTGGTGCCGCATTCGTAAAGATTTCTGCGCATAATCGAAATTCAGGACTCGTCGATAAATATATTTGACAAAATGAAAGTGGAAATAGATAGTACAAGTATATGATAACGACGAGACATCGCCGACAGATATGTCTAAATGAGAGCTGTTATACCTACTTAACGCTGATAAGTAGTGATAAGAGCTATTGACTAGAGCACAGGCTATCGATTTTTTAAACATAAACGTCAAGTGTCGAGGAGAAACGCTTAAAAGATTATCAGATATATATCGGTCACGAGGCATTTTACACATAACAAGCGAATTCTATGCGACTATATGGAAAACTGCGTAATACTTTAAACCGAAATAAAAGTGTATTCTTATAAGGATCTTTATTTTATTATAATTTATTGCGATAGAGAATAAAAGAACATTTAATTATATTAATTAAGTTTTATATTAATGACAGAAGTTTCTACAAACATCTTTTACGATAATACATTAAATATTACAATTGATACTTGGAATTTAAAGATAAAAAATCTTTCCAAAATGTCTCGATTTAAGTAAGATTATTATTCTTAAATAAAACTTTTATTTATAGTTTTTGTTAATTTCGAACAAGAGAGTTAAAGTCCATTATAAGAGCCACTTTCACCAACCACGGTTAGTTTAACCGACGGTTAAAGTTATCAGGGTGGATTTATTTCTATTGATCAATCCTGTTAACTTTAACCGTCGATTAAGCTAACCGTGGTTGGTGAAATTGGCCCTAAGGCATTTTTATTATAGAAAGATCTATCTCGAATCAAAGAAAGGATATAGGCCGGTATTCATAGTCGGTTCTTATATTTAAGACCGTCTTAAGTACAATCTTCAAGACGTCATGAACCAATCACAGAGCCGTATTAGCATCTTAAGATATTACTTACGACGGTCTTGAAATAAGATCTGACTATGAATACCCCGGCCATAGTTTCTCTATATGCGCAATTTATTCATTCTACGATCATCTCTACATATTCGCTTGAGGAATGGCGCTTCGTATTCTTTCCGATCGTTTTTCTCTCTTGATCTTCCTCCTCGAGTGGCACACAAAGGACGACCTCGCGTAAGTTCGTCGCGACCACAGATCCCGCGCGTTACGCATCGCGGCCATCAGCTGCTCGCGCGCGCACGTATACAAACAGCGGCGAGATACGTGCGTGCGTACACGAGCCACGTGGTCGTTTAAATGCGCGTTAACGCGCGCACAACAAACGAGTGGCCTAGGTGAGCCTGGCTTTTAGCGCGCTTCGCCACGCCGTGCCAGTTTTTCGCAGCCGTTCCCTTGGTACGGCGCGGCGCGGCGCGGCGCGCGTTTCCGCTTTCGTTACCAGCGAAGTCATCGCCGCGGTACATACCGTTATTCTCGTTCGCGCTCCCCGACGAGCTTCCAACCAGCTGTTTTTCTTTTCTTCCAAGGATAATTAGAATCGTGACGGGGACGTGTATTTCTGTTCGTCTCCGAGTGCCGCAGGTAATGCAATAAGAGCGATCTGTACTTTTTCGTCGGCGACGTGTGCTCCGAACTTGATATCTCCAGTTCAGTGTCCTAGAATGGAAATATAATAGCGCGAATAATAGCTCGAAGTCTCTCGACGTTGGATATTTACTTCGATCAAAAGGCGATATAGTGCGTACTGTTATTTGTGATCTAAGGGCTATTCTACAATACGTCGCAAACGAGATGGCAACTGTTAGTTGAAAAGTGTTATTTCCGGTTGCGCTTGTCAGTTGCGGTTGTCAAAAGAGAGTTGGCGAACTTTTAACCTTTTTTGGCGACAGCAACTGGCAATTGTTCGCGACGTATTGTAGAATGGCCTTAACAGTTGTCTGTAACATAACGCTTTGTATAAATGATAGCTTCGATACTGTTGACAAAAATGCCTTCACGCGTTTACTGGTATTTCCACGCTCTTTTTTTCGCGTTTTAGCCAATACGTATAACGGAAACGAATACAAGCGAATCCTTGGATAGAACAATGCCTAGTTGTTTCTCGATGGAAGAGCTTTTCCGTTGTGCTAGCTGTTTGTTCTTTGTTTTCTGAACGGTGTCTCTCGTACGGCTCATTATCGTCCAGCCATTTGACGTTTGTCGTATACGATACGAATAAATTTTTAAGAAGAGATTTCTGGTAAGAAAAATAGGGGGAGGGAGGAGAGAGAGAGATACCTTCACAATCCGCACGAAAGTCGTTATTAATTACGAAGGGCGTGGCTGCGAATCGATAACTATAAATCTCGCTTATCGGATCAATCTGGCGCAGGTGAATGTAAGTTGCGTCATTTTCGAATCGCGACCGCTTGCATTTCCGATTTGCATGTCCTTATAAGCAGATCCTCCGTTCGTCGACCGGAGCGAGTATTCGCTGAGAGGATCTCCGATGTATCTCCGCTACGGTGAAAGTTTAATTCCCGCTCCTTCGCGTATCGCGAGACGGATGAATTTATCCGCGGCGGCGAAACCGCTGTGCAAATCAACGCGTGCAAATAACTGCGTAAAATTGCAGAACCCGAACGAACGCGGATTTACCAGCTCTCGCTCTCTCGAGCTCCTTTCGCTCTTAATTTCATCGTTAGTACGTTCTAAGTCGTTAGTTTTACTTTTTATCGTGTCTTGGAAAATTTGGCAAAATATATCTTAATCGATCTTTTCTCTTGTTTTGATTGCAGGACGGTTTAGCTGGACACCACCTGGTACCCAGAAAGCAAGTGAGATAAAGACAGGTGGCACGAGAAGGTAAGAAGCAAACATGGGAGCGAGACAGAGCAAGAGGTCCGTGGACATAACGACGACGCCAAAGAAGGAGGGAATACCCGCCGAAGGTGGCGTCGTCGGCGACGCGGCTGCACCTGGCGATGGCAAGCTGGAGAGGATCGAGGAGGCCGACACGAAGCCTACCACCAACGGCATAGCACCGCACACGGACTCCACCGAGGACAAAGAAAAGGACAAAGATGAGACTACCGAAAAGGATAAGGAGCAGGTAAGTTTTTATCGCCTAGCTCGTCGAGGCGATATCTTTTAAGCCGAAATATTGAAGAGTGATTTTAATTGCGCGATAAATATATATATGTATATAATGTTTACTTTGCAGGCTTTAAATTAATTGATGAATATAATTTTATGTTACATTCTGCAAGAGAATAAAAAGGAGCTTTGTCGAAAGAATTTTAAGCTTTATTTTTAACTTTTTTATAGTTTGATTTAATATTTAGCGACTAGACTAAATAAAGTTCGTTTGACGTTAAGCTTCTGTTCGTACCATATGGGTCTTGTATGCATATTATCTTAAAATCATGTCGATCGTATTAAGGTTAATTGTTTGCGCAGGTGCGATTACCTCGATTTCAGTCCGAGCGATATGATCATATTTGCATTCGAAGTTCGTATAATTTCGCGATAATTTTTCATTACGAGGCATACATTAATACCGTATTAGCGCAAGATCTCGTTATTAATGAACATTTTACCCGAGAAAATTATACTATTGACTCGAATTTCCGGCTTGATTGATTATACATGAGCACGCCTATCGTTGGGCAGGCCGCGAAATTCCTCTCGATTACACTATTTCGATTCGTTTCACGCGTATAATTATTTTTCTTGAGTGCGAGGGCAAATTAAATAACGTGGCATGTTAAGTGCCACGTTCTCTCCTTCACTCGCTCTCTTCGCTTGATTATTGACATTCTCGAATCGCTTTGCGGTGAGTCACTCGCTCAATTATCGACCATTTCTCAATGATCTCGTTCGGATTATACGTGAACGGCTTACAATGGGCGCGTGCTGAATCACGCGTTTGCTCGTAAAAGTCGTAGGTACTACTTCGAAGCTTATCTCGCTGAGACGATTCATCCGGTGGAGGTTGCACGCGTCGACGAATCATTAATCTTAATCAATTCGTCGAAAGCGACGGCGTATCACCTTCTTGCACTGTGTTACCTATACTTATCGGCATCTTCATTATTAAAAATGTGCGTGTAAAATAGCTAATAATAATAAATCATCAAATAATATACAATGTATCATACAATCATCAAATTATTTTAGTAGAGTATAGCGTGTTTGACGTTTATACATAATATTTTCCGAGATGTTATAATAAAGTCATAATGTAATGATAAAATATATATCGCTAACGAGAGATATTTTCTTCAATTTAAGATTCTGGCAAGTATCGCTAAAACAGAATTAGTACACGTTATTAGCGACATCGCAATATACACATCTATTTAAAAAGTAAATTACATTACGATTAATGGCTTACGTTAGCAATTAATGGATTAGTGCGACAGTGACAGTGCATGCTGTTTTTATCGCTCTTTTCCCCGTTCCTGTCGATGCGTTCTTTGCCGCGTCCCCCCGAGGAATTATTTGGCACCGGACAAAAGAACGCCGTATAAACCGGACTTCACGCGGGACGCGCGTCAAGTGTCGCCTTTACGACATCCGGGGTTGACTATTCTTGGGCATGACCTAGGCGAAATGCTACCTCACTCGCAGGTCCGAGAACGGCCTACCTTCGATAACGATCGATTTCCTGCTCGTACCGAGTTATAACTCATGAACGCGAGAATCAGCGCGTTGATCTCCTCTTCACAGGATCATTGCATCGCTTCAATGACCGCTCAAGCGCGCATATCGGCTTGATGGTCGATAATCATGGCGTTACATAAGATGCGTTATAAACGGAAAGCTCGTACGCTCGCGATTAATTGCGCATCGCGCGTTGATACGGATTGGCGTTTTACAAAGTGCATGTTAACATTACGTAGACTAGACAAGCAACACGGATGAATTCGTATTCGTACGCATTTTTACGATTCCATTCGCGTTTAATCTGTTCAACTAGTTCTTTCAGTTTCTTTAATTATAACAACATGATATGTACTACTGCACGCACTTACGATCGATTGATTTATCAAACTCCAAATTTTATGAAAATGTGCGAAAAACACTGCAGCATTCTAATTGTAACCTTTTATCTTAAGGTATTTACTATTTTATAAAACCGTATATTTTATTTGCCCGAACTGGAGTGAACGTTCTCCAGGCAATTTAGTCTTTCGAACTTTTCCTACTTTGAAGTAGCCCTACTCGAAAAATTGGTGGCGCGTGTGTCAATTCCGTCGTGCCAAGTTTTCGGGTCTCTCTCTGTCTCACTCTCTCTTTCCCTCTTCTCGACTCGAATCTCATAAGTTCGCGGCGGTTTATATCTCGAAATACCACCCTCCCCTGCTTTATAGGCGAAACTTGATATTTCCCCGATTGAGCAAGACCGGCGGCAGCTGTCACGCACCAGATACGACGATACGCGAGAGAGAGCGCACTTTACTACCATCCTCTCCTTCCTTTCATTTCCTTTCGACAAGTCGTTCTTGCTCCTCTTTCGATTTCTCGTTCTCCACCATTTCGCGCCGGTTTAAGGCGTCACTTACCTCGACCACTCGAGCGAGTATCTTTCCCTCGTCATAAAGATATTCCGATTCGAAAGCAGCGGCAAGAATTTTGGTTTAAATCGAGCTTGCTTTCACGTTAGCGGATGAATCTCGAAAGCAATATTTCGCACGTTCGATTTACTTCTTTTCCCTCGTATCTCCGGTAAGTAATCGATACTTTTCTTCAAGAATAAGATTTCGCCAGGTTGATACGCGCATTTTCTAGCACGGTCTCCATAGAGACCGTGTGAAAAATTAGTTTGATACGCTACGTTGAGTCATGCCATCCCGTTATCGTTCCATCGAACATGAATCCGCTCGCTTCTCGGGTATCGAGTCGATCATTTTCCCGCGAGACGACAGCGAGTTTATCTTGATTATCCGTCCGACAATCGAAATCTCATTGCATCGAAGCCCATCGCTTCCCGATTCGCGCGCTATCGCGAGTGCCTGTCGTTTGAATATCATGAGCGTCTGATGGAGATCGGTGTCCCGACATGACACATCGGCCGTGAATCGAGTAGCTCGCGCTTCGCGATGCCCGTTAAATTTTTGACAAAAAACGAGCGAATACCGTTTGACTAACTTCGCCGTGTGCAAGTGCACACTCGCCGATTCCCGCGACTAACTGTAATCTCGCGGCTCATGTACCGGCTTCATGTACCTTTTCTTTACCGAGGCATACCTAACTGTCCTAGACGAATAAATCTTCCCTATCCCCCTTTTCCCCCCTTGCGTTACTATTTCGCGCGTGTATCTCGATCGCTGGGATCATTCCCAACCGACACATCTCAAATAATTCCGCGCGGTCACATCGCATCTTAGCGAGTTCTGTTCCGTGAATTTCTTTCTGCGCTGAAAGAGAGACCCCGCTAATGAAGTGTTTGCATAAATGCGATAAGGAGAATGTCGTAAAACCGATCCGTTATAGATTAAATATTCCCGCGCGGCCCGAGGAGTTTCTCCTTTCCAATCTCCGCGTCTCGTTTACCGTGTCTCTTTCATTGCCGTCGCGTTGCTGCTTAACCCACATTCAGATTTAAATATGTCAATCTCATTAGCATAACGTCATCATGGTTTACCTCGATTTACCTGTCGCTCCGCATCGGTTGTTAGAGGACATTGCGTTGTTATGCGCGTGTTACGATTCTCGATCGCGGATCGCGCTCGAGTTCATCGCGATTAAAGCGGCGGTGTTTGTGTGACGTACGAGATTATACCCGCGTCTCATGAATATTCATCGCTTTCCTCCGGTGTCTCCGTGCGTCTGGCGACGTACCGCGCCGCTCTCTATCCGCAATCTTACCAAATCCCCAGGCAGGTGCGTGTACGCGATCTGCTTAAGAGTCAACCCGTACGTCTTGCTGAACACCTGCCCTTAATACGCCGCGCTGATATGACGACGAGTCCGACACGATGCTCTCGGCCTGTTTTGAATGAGAATTCGCGATCGTGCGTATATTCGCGAAATAAACTGTGTGTGTGTGCACCGTGCGTGTACGGCAGAGGGCACGCTCGAATCCGTAACGAGCAAGGCGTGGATCGCAACCTTGGCCGTGACTCATCTGTGCGTCGCGGATGGACGCCTGACCGTGCGATAAAGATTCTACCGTGAAAGACATTTATATATTTATTATATCCCATTGTTTTAAAAATACAATGGTAGCCGATAAAAATAACTTGCGCATAATAGTACCCGATAAAAAATAATATATGCATAATGGTACCTGATACAAAATCTACGAGGTTATCGTTTATCATCTTATAAAAATTAAGAGAATTATAATTTGATTGATATCGAGTCTCGATATTATTGACTAAAAAGAAAAACGTGACACTAATAGGCTGAAATTTATTAATGATTAATGTATCGTTCCGCGGTCGACAGTTAAATTGCAGAGTGCTTTGTATCTCGTGAGTTCACAAATCTTTCTGATTTCTATAATTAACTTGTAGACTGCAACACATCGATATAGAGATATATTATACGCGATTAACATCATAGATGGCAAAAGGATGTTGATCCGCCTATCGATCTCCTCCTTTCCGAACGATGAATCAGCCGCACGGAATATATCGTACGGAAATTAAGCAAAGTATTTCACGTATAATTAATACCGCGCGAACATCGTGATATCTCGGCGCCGCGCATTTCGTTGATGAATCATCATATATGTAGCTCGCATAGCTCGGAACGAACGCGCTTTATTAATTAATACGACTCATCTGTTTTGCCGCCAGTAATTGCATCTCTGACCCGTCTGAATTCCTGCGAGTTTCCTCCGTCTAGCGAGCATCGCGGATAACGCCCATCTCCTTTCGCGGTCTCCAGCTCCGGTGAAACGCGGTTTCTCGATTAAAACGCGGTAAATCCCTCCCCAGCCGAGTATTTTAACGGTTAAATTTAACCGCGCGCCGCGCGTTGCGTGTAATTTCTCGCTTTACGCGATCGCGTGGCGTTTTCACGGCGGGCGGTATCGCCGTATAGTCAAAATAAAACGCGGGATTCGCGTATACACGTCGATCGCATATGCGACGATTACTCAACGCTTGGGAATTCGTTATAGAAACTGCGTACGCGGGACAGATGATGCGTATTCACATATGCACGTCTGCAGCGCCGAGGAATTTATTGTGGAAATCTCTCGGCCTTCGCTTTAAAGCCCGCTGCGCGTCCCGTGCCGTGGATTCCTTCATATTCCAATATTGTGCGATCAGGCTGCGCGACGATCCGGCGTCTTTATCCGCCGCGCAAGGTTGCTCGCGCGCCGCGTATCTTTGAATATTAATTAGTGGTAAACTCATGTGGCCTCCGAATTCCAATATATCGGCCTCTCGACGCGACGCTCATTATTATTATTTACCTGCGTCTTCGGTAATACGATCCGCGCGCGGAATCTTAATTCATTATTTCGTTTTACACTGAATGCAATATTCATACTTATAGAGAAGCGCAGCTTGAAAAACAGCTCGATTCGCTTTCGCGTTATGTATCCTATCACAATTTTTTTCACTTTTTTGGGGTACAAAATAATAGCAAAAACGCGGCTCGTTTTCCTATCTTTCGTTCCGAAATTTTTGTCCAATTTTTTTGCGTTTGTTGACTTGGGTGGGTATCCACTTTTTATCCTCAACGTTTTGTAGTTCATATTAATATGCAGAGCCCCCCATATTCGTGCCATTGTATCCAGGCACTTACGTCGGGGAGAATATCCCGGCGCAGTTGCCCCTCGTCTTTTTCGGACCTCGTTTTCCGGCCATTCTTTTTTTTGTCCTCTCTTCTGCCTTTGCTCGTATCTCGTCTTCGCCGGATACAGCGAGACTCGTCGTCGTTGCGCGTCTCGTGAATGCAGAAATAAGCCGATATTTACATAATATAATGCGCGCAAAACGCGTCTGAGGAGATTCGCCTCGTCTCGCCGTCGTTATGGAAGAGACGGCGATGCGGACGAGAAGAGAAGGAGAAAGCGAGAAAGAGAGAGAGAGAGAGAGGCAGAGAACGGCGTTGTGCATACGCGTTAGTTGTAATCGAATGTGACAGCGCGTCGTGCCTCCCAGTCCGTTGTAAATCAGGAAATTCACTATATAACGCCCACGTCGGATTTATATCGTTCTTAAACGACGCCGTGGAACGGTCGCTTGATTGGCCGTTGCGTTGTTTTATCGCATCGCGACGCACGTACATGCGTACGTACGTGTTTGCGTATCTCGGATAAACGTGTAGAATTGTTCCCGCGTATTTGCATCGATAATAAAGTAGCTCGTTGTTTGTACAATCGACCAGTCACCTGCCTCGAGTTGCAAAACGCCATTCACGCGTTGTTTCATTCGACTCGGACAATATTTGCCGTCGCGGTTAGCAGCTTTATCGATCAGGAATTGGAAATGAAGGATAGAAGCAGCTAAATAGCTAAAGTGAGCGCTGGCGGAAAATAAAAGTTTCGATTTTTGGAATAAAACTTTGTGACGAAAAATTATATATTTACGCAAAAGTGAATGCGAAGACAATAATTTTAATAATAGGAGAAAATAATTTTAGTTTATGGAAGGAGGATGACTCGCAAAATTTAGGGAGACAATGCCGAGAGATCTTTCAGCCATGGCTTCGAAGAAGCGTTTTTAACGAAGCATTATTCTGTCCGCCTGCTTTGCGCCATGAATCATATAATTACATACACCGAGGTAACGAACGATTACGTCGCATTATTTTTCGCTCGAGGAGTCTAGAATTTTTTTCGCAAATTTGCAAGATAGTTTTCATGTTTTCAAGGATAATTATACGTGGATTAACACTTGTACATAAATTCAACAAGTCACTTCGGTAAAGTACCTAAATTCGGTATAAAAATAATAAGTCGCAATAAATTCTTTGCAGTTATTTAGATGCGTATAGTATTAAAAATTAAATCGATTTAATTTGGGGGGAGAAAAGGGATTTTAATGTTCCAACAATTTTTTAGTCCGACAAAGAATCGGCACGCAGTTTAATAAATTAGAAAATAAATATATGTATATACTCACAAATAATATTAGGCTACTAAGATCCAACCCCGGACGTAAATGGCATTTTATCCTAATTTGATTATCACAAGTCACTCGCAATTTATGTTAATGGAAGTATCGTAACCCGATACTTTTTCTAATCCTTTATTAGCTTATTTGTCTTATTGTATAACTGGATCAAGTATGCAATTATTTCTATACGGAGGCTGGGAAATTCCGGGGCTTCAGGGCTTGACCCCCGAAATCTAATCGACTCCAGCGAACTTTTTCTGGCAAAGATGGGTCGACAAGCTCTTGTCGGCCGCACTTTTCTCGGTTAGTTTGGTAAGCTGCACACTTCGCCGTTAAGACGAGAGAGACCGTCGAGGGCCTTTCAGGACCCGGGACAAAGAAACCTCTCGTGTCGTGCAGCTCGTTGTGCACTATGCGCTTTCCGGGAAAACTAACCCGGTTCACGGAAGTTTGATATTATTTATAAGTGATGGGCCTCGGAATACGATGGGAAAGAGTTAAGCGACTTCATTCCGGAGTGCCTGCGGTACTTCCGGACGCAAGATGAGAAACTTTCAACGACTATACAAGTATCATCACAGAAACGTATACGCTCGCGGGCGAAAAGCCTGTCCGTGTAATCAGTTTTACTCAGCTATAGTTTACGAGAAATGAGATAATGAAATTTTCAATGTTGCGTAGCTTCTACATTTTCGTATAAATTGGTATGACTTGAGTCCCGGGGTGAATCAAAAGGTAATTTGTTTAACGCTTTTGTGACATTACTTTTAGGTTCTTAATTTAAATCTATGAAAAATTAATCTCAATTTCTAATCAGCTTTTTGATGATTATCATAATTGCACCCTCTTCAAAGTTCTTGGCAATGTAATTTTCGATGTTTCGTCAATGATAACATAGTGAAGCAAAGTAATGAAGTTGTAAAAGGCATACACGGATTTTAGGATGACATGGGAAATGCTAGGTCTCTCTTTAACGACTTTAAATATATCGCGTGTCGTGACGAGCCACGTTGAAAGCAGGTATCAACTGCTTGAGCGCTATCATTTTGCAAAATGGTTGAACTCGGAAGAATCACCGCGGGAAGTCATATACATTGTAGCTTTACAGAGTATCGATTTACGATATAGGATTTACAATTTACGACGTGGTATATATCTTGCTTATATATCTTATTCTCGTTCATGTTCTTCATGCTTAACGAAATCTCTACACTAGGGTAAAGTACTACTTATGACAATTCCTATTATTCTGACTGATTCCGAGAATTTCAGACGATTTATATTTGTTGTAATCGTATATAAGACATATTTACATATCCATTGTACATGAAAAGTATCTTTATCGTTCGGATCGAAGACACTCATTCGCGTAGGATTAACGTTACATCTCAGAGGACCAAATTCGAAGGAGGACTTTACCTCTGCTTTCAGCAACCGCAGCAAGAAGAAGTAAAAGCCGAGGAGACGAAGCCAGAATCGTCTGGAGACTCTCCCGCGGAGGTTGCAGAGGTCACGACGCCCACAGAGGCCACCCCTGCCAGTCCGAACACTGCCACCTCTCCAGACAATAAGGAAACCAAAAAGAAGGATAAGGTAAGGCGACTCGCCGATCCAGGCTTAATTAATCGTGCTCGATGACAAATAAATAAATTCTCCTCACGTCACGTCTCGTACATCGAGACCTATTCGCGTGTCAGTCAGTTGTTCCACCTTAATTTAGAAGTTTAATTTTCACCAAGTACCTACAACGCGCAATTACGCGCGATGAGTCTGCCGATCGCTATCAGATGGTCTTTTCTCGTTTTCTAGAAGAAAAAGTGGTCCTTCAGGTCGATCAGCTTCAGCAAGAAAGACAAGACTAAGCCGAGCCGCGATGAAACGCCCAAGAATGGAGACGTCACCAAGGAAGAGCCACTCGCAGAGGTGAGTCGCGAAAGAACATCTACACGAATACATTGTTACTCTAAGTGTTGGAGCGACAGGAAATTACTTGCGAAAACACACTGTGCTTCTCAAAACAAACAGAACTATTTTTGACGTTAACAGAACGTTATATCTCTATCGCTACGATTGCAAAATTCGGGAGAGCGAGATAATTACATTTGCGAGGAAGTTTTTTCTCGTTATCCGATAGCTCACCTGGAAACCTTATCCTCGAATATTCGTAATTGAAACATTTTGCGTAATTTAACTCTCGGTAACGCGTAATTGGATAATTTTACTCCTCTACCAAATTTCATAACACCGATCATGCGTTTTCGCGTTAAACATTATCGCGCACGAGAGCGTATATCGAGTTCAATTTCGTTCGAGCTAATTGCGCCGCTCTTTGATATCGCGCCGCGCGTTTGCGTTGCGTTATTCTCGAAAAAACAAAGTTGTCAATTTTCAATTTTGCCGATATTGCCACTCCTTGTTATCGATGCGACGACGAATAAAACTCGCGCGTTACTCGCAATGCGTCTCGATAGCGCGCTGCGTTATTGCTCGTTGTGAGTGAGATATTTTTGCGCTCGTCGAACGACTCTCGCGAAATACGTATCGCAGCGCCCTGACCAAGTTCCACGGCAAGGTAGCGTATGGTGGTGGTACAATCGCAACGCGGGGGGAAAAAACGGGGCGATCGGCTTTACGAGCCGCGGCAATGAATCGCCCGCGACCCCATTCCGACTTCCTCGATCTTTTCCCGCCCGTATATAATCGCCACGACCGAATAATCGATTTAGCCGGCTAGGTCTTAAAAGTCTCGGCCAATAACGGCCTATGTTTGATCAAGCGTGGCACTTCGTGTTTCCCTTGAAGTTCGTGCGCCGCGATCCGCGTGCACCGCGCGCGCGGAGAGATAATCACGGACGGCCACGCGATAGCCGTCACGGAATCGAGGGCTCTCAGACGGTGCTTTAATTGGCCCCGGGACTCGATAAATCTCGAAGGCGCTCGCGATTATCGGAGATTTATTTGGTAGAAATGATACGACTCGACGCGAGGGGGCTCGCGTTAACAAAGTTATTCGTTAACATCGCTCACGATTCCTCGGTTTGCGTGTTTATCGGCGGGACGAGAGAGGGCCATCCCCCGGTATCGCATCATTGTCGCGCAGGGAAATGATGAAGTATTATGCAGCTGCACGTTATACCTTGTGACGCTGACGGCGCAACCATTACAACGGCGCGACGGGCCTTTCACGAGCTCCGTGAATGATGGAGCTCACTTTGTAGACGTTATTATTAATCTTCGTCGCGCTGCTTAACAAGCTATTCCACGTTACACGCGCTTTACACCCCGATCAGCGCGATTGTATCGACGAGTTATATAGATTAACGATGATCGCACGATGATCCCTCGCGTGATAGGACTAGTCGCATTAGAAACTTCGATTGGGCTACGATCGATTCTTGGACAGAAATTAAGGGTATAATAAATGACTAGACTAAATCATAACGTAACATGTGTGATAACGACAAACGTAATTGTAACAATTTTACCTGTGACACGATTCACACATTTCTTCTTGAAATGGTTTGGGTATTTTGCGTACCTGCATCTACAGATCAGATACTAATGTTTATTTCCATCAATGTAGATTAACTTTAATCTCGATTTAACTTTTTACCCTTTTCTGCTTCTCAGAATTAGAAAAAAATGAAAAGTAAGTTAAACCGAGATTAAAGTTAATCTACATTGATGGAAATGAACATAAAAGTTATAAGACTGAGGCAACGCTTCACTTGCATCCACCTGCTAAAGCTACATCCTGAAAAGCATAGTAAGATGCTTAATTATCCCGAGGCGGCTATGAATCATCGTAACTCTTTCCGGTTAACGCAGTCGGGCAGCTGCGATCGGCTTGCCGGCAGATGTATAATAAGTAGCGACGCTAGCTCTCGCTTTTCTTCCCGCTTCTCTCGCGAATTTTTTACCCTCGCTCTCTGCAGCTTCTCGTCTTATCTTCCTCTCTCGTGACCGTAGCCGCGCGCGTAGGCGAGGCGCGTAGCCGCGGGACCTCGCGACGGCTGATCCTCTCGTTTCCTTCACCACCGTCACCACCTTCCTCTTCGTCTTCCTCTGCAGTCTGCAGTTTCAACCGCATTCGCGTGCGTGGTCTCCCTTCCTTTCTTCGTTGTCGCCGCGACCTCGGCGCGACAGAAAGAGAGTGGGAAGAGAGAAGAACAGCCGTGACTCATCCCTTCGGTTCGTCGTACCTCCGCGCGCGCGCAACTTTCGTGATAGGCCGCCGTGGAAAACCGGCTCCTCTCCGCGCGTGGTTAAATTATCCCCGCCGGTTGCCTGCCTGCCTGCTTGCCTGCTGTCTGCTGCCTGCCTGCCAACCAGCCAGCCATCCTGATTTCTCGTCGCAGCCTCCGGCTTCGACCTGCAACTCGTGTGTCCCGATAGACAATGGCTCTTCGCCCGATATTACACGAGCACGATAATTTTATCGTCCGATCGACGCACTGCCCAAGTCGACAAGTTGCGGCGTTATTAAAGATTTATTTGATTATTGCCCGACGTATAGAATAACGTCGTAGCATCGTCCGTTATTCTCCCGCGTTATCAATCGGTTTGATGAAAGCAAGAATGCGAGTCGTTGAAGACCCCTTCGATCGCGTTGGGGTATGGTAATGACGGGGCTTCATTAGCGTGTTGCTATACGTTATTTATAGACCCCGGGCGTCTTGCGGTACTTTTTGCTTTATCGGCGGATCATTTTTACGTCCGTTCTCGCGGTCGTTTATCACCGCGAATGATGGATGCGGTCGTATCGCTCGGACAGTTGAAAACATGCATTCTCCATAGCGCGGGCTGGACCGACGGTCCCGTGCTCTCTCACAGAAGAATTCTAGATATTTATAGCCGGTATCGTCTCGTTGCCGACACTAATGTAACCTTGATGAACCGGGCAGTTGTCGCATCTTATTATCCTCTGAACGAGTTTGACGGTCATTTATCGTCTAATTAATAATACTTATATATTTAGGCAATTATTATTCTGTATTCGTTTGACGATTATATAACGATTTTATGGTACACCCGATATGTATCGCGGCATTAGCGCGGGTACATGCAGAGAGAAAGAGAGAGAACGTCTCACTCTCCGTGCAACCTTCGAGTCATCGCGAGTATCACCGCGAGCTTCAGCTGTTCAGCCGCGACTTTCACTCCCTTCGAATGGCCCAGCATTCCGGAGTCATTAAGGAATTACAAGTGGTAGTATGCAACCGCGTGCAAGCGCAGTTGTGTGCGCCTCGTAATAGCGACATGACATTGTTGAGCATATTATGACACGGACGTGCTGGTTGTAAAGTCCTATTGCTCCGCGCCGACCGGTTTATCTATCGCACGTCGAGAAGCGCCTAGCACGCGGATTGAAATTTCTCGAGTAATTAGCGGAAAAAGTTTTCCCGTATCTAATGATTCATTTCCGACTTGTTGCCGATTCTCGTTGACGTTTTAATAATTATCATATTTATCATTAGATAAACGCCGCATCAAGTGTGCTGGTTAATCGGTAATACGACACGATAAGACTCGTTAATTATTCTTTTAGGGAGATTGTTTGTCCGAAATGTGTATTATCTAGCGGCTTTTTCGTCGCATAGTTTCAGCCGGGCTGACACGTTTTTCTATTTCTAAGTAATGCGCTTGTTTCGCTTTAATTGGCGGCGAAATTTTCAATTTAAGGCAATTAACTCTTAATTCCCTTAAATTGTCTCTTCACGCATTCTTATGTCCGAGAAGCGTCTAAACCTTCTCAGGCATTTGTCACGTCTCCATTATCACGTACGCGGTGAAGGAAGAAGCGGGTCGAGGCAATACAATCGTGTTACTTACATTCCACAAAAATTAATTTAAAGTGATGTACATCTGTCTCGTGAACGGAATGCCATGTCGGTAAAAAATAATACGGTCATAGACTGAAATGAGTTAAATTATGAATCAGACGAATCGATGAAGTAATCGCTGGAAATTCTTCGCGGGAAATTTCGGTTGTCTTTATTTAACGAGAGATTTAATTATTTACTTCACTGATGAATTATTAAGAAATTATTCCATTGTATTTCATTTCTTAAATCGAATAATTTAATATCTTTATTATTGTCTTGTCCATTTTTAACGGGCAGATTTAACAAATAATTTTTTTATATTTTTATTTATGCAATTTTATTAATTCTTGTCACAGAATTTATTTACAAAACGCTTTTTACCAGGAGTGGAAACGTAGTTATATTTTCATGCTAGGTAAAAGCACAACGAGACCGTCCGATATTCCTCCGATAAATCTTGCCGCTGGTATCTCGCGGTCGACCACCTTGTCTCCGAACACCGCGTCGTCGCGACTCGGATTTGCGTGTGCGGCGCTTTTTTGCAGACGCGACCGACTACGCTCTACGTGACGCGAAATGTTGATGGGAGTGGTGCGTGCGTGCATGTTCCGGTTACCCCCTCGCGGACTCTGGAATTACGGGCGATTGGATTGAAATGCCGTTGATCGATCGTGTATCGCTCTTCTGCGCGGTGACGTCGCTAATTATTTCATAATGTTGATAGTATGATTGACGCGACTTTGACGTAACGTCGATACGCGGTCACGGCCCTTGGGTCAATTTCCTACGCGGGGAACGCGCGACAATATCGGACGGGAATATCGGCGACCGGGGGCTCCGGGTGTACCGAGCACCGGTCAGTGGCCGTGTCTACGTCGTGTTCGGCGTCGCTCATTGTGTTCGCCAGCAGCACGGTTCAATGGCCCAAACTTCCCGGATATACTTGCCTACGGCGCGCTATTTCGTCGCGGAAAGAGAACTGTATCGTGAGACGTGTCCGTTGGGCTCGAAGAGAAAAAAAGCGTGGCTCACGACAAGTGGGTACCTACGCGGGATTAAGATGTACGTCGAGTGTAAAAATCGATTGCTCGTGTAATT